GTGTGTGTGTTTTACTAAAATATTTTTACTATATAAAAATGTTATTAGATAATGTTTTTACTAATTTTATTGGATTCACGCAGGACAAATCCTCAGGAAAATCGAACTTTTATGACCCCTATCTTGAGCAATGCTCCACAATGTCACATCTCCTCCATACCCGTACCCCAAATGCATCTGGCTTTTACCGAGTATGAAATTCACACATCTTATTTACGATAATGGATAAATTAAATTTGTTCTTGTTTTTTTTTTGTCGTTAGTTTGTTTTCATATATATGGTTTCCTAAAAATAAATTTATTACTAATTTTATGAATAAATTTAAGTTTTTCTGATGCTTCAGTTTTTTCGTCTTTAAATTTTAAAACTTAATTACTATTTTTATCTTTTTATCTAATTTTTATAGGCATCAAAATATCATGCAAGAATTGTTGAATCAACATTCGTCAAGGTCAAGGTTCCCTAGCGTTGACACTCATCAAACACATATACGTCCAAGCATAAACACATCCATGCCTCTTCAGGTTCAATGTCTCTCATCTGAATAATTAATGATACCATTGGTTATATTTGTCATTTCTTCCTTAATATTGTTGTTATAAAAAATATTAATGGGTAATGAGCTTCAAATAGAGAATTGGAGAACAAACTATTGGACGTTCCTCAACTGAGCCTCCTCTCGCCAATAGAAGACCAAGAGACAGCAATAATAGTGTATATATATGTGATTTATTATTACGTCAAAATTTTATAAATTACTGAATATGGACTGAAACGTTGTTGATTACATGAATATTACAGGGTAGAGTTTCAAAACGGGGACGAAAAAGCTGCAAAGATGATGTTCAACGTGGTGAATCATCATCTTCTGCTCAGCAAAAGGTATGTTTTCATGAAATACACATAAATTTTTTTTTTTCTCTAAAGTCACAAAATATATAAAAGCGAGAAATATGATACGTGCTAATTTCATAATGTAGAAGATCGACTTGCCAAAAGAAAGTGATGGTTCAGTTGCAGTCGACCTTCCCCAAACAAGGTTTGTTTTTTATCTTCCAACTATTATTTTGAAGTTTTTTTTTTTTTCAAATATAACTATCAATCTTAAATGATTTATTAATCATACATGATGGCTTGATATCATAACCATAGGTTTTATTTAGTTAACTTACCTCATGCCATAAGTAGTCAGCTAAATGATTATTGTTTACAACTATTTTAGTATATGATTCCCATATTTATATTTATGTCACACGCTTAATCAAAGAGGATATTAATAAGTAGTATTATCTATATTTCAGGTCGCCATATGATCCAATTTATGAAAGCCTCGATCTATACATTGATCCCCACTTGAGAAAATTCATGGAACAGAAAAATTAAACGGTAATCAATTTTTAGATTTTTTATTTGTTTATATTTACGAGCTTATGGGTTTAATATTCATATCTTTATAATTTCTATCTTGTTCACTTAATTTACAGGTTAATGTCAAGCTTAAATCCAGCTTTGAAAACTGAGATGTTTTCATGGGAGATCCAGAAACAATTATCAGATTTGAAGCATAATATGTTTTTTTAAAATGCTATTATCAACAATGCACCTATAATGATTTAAGTACAAACTTGTTTATAAGTTTTTATTTTTTGTTATTATCAACAAAACCTAATAGCCTTTCTTTGTTATTATCAAAGAAAATTTGCTCATTTTTTTGCCTTACTCCTAAAAACGGTTTATGGTACGGATGCATCTGAATGCAAATATGAGATAATTGTAAAGAGATTGCATTATGGAACATACAGTTTACATGTATGGCAAAGTGTAAGAATGGATATGTGAATTTTATGTTTCTTTGCTTCTGATTGTGAAACATATGGCTTCAAATTTGTTCCTTTTTTTTTGTAGCTTCCTATTCTGGAATTGAAGCTGCTAATTTCTTGCCTTTCTGGTGTTATACCGGAACTACAACGCTTGTTATTCCATGGAAGAGCTTTGGAAGATGATAAAGTCGTATCGGATTATCGTATCCTGCTTTGCTTATCCTCATTGCTACTCTTCATGTGCTCGTGTTTTCTTTTTTCCGAGAAATGGATTTCTTTAAATGAGTTAATCCAAGATGTTCAACAAGGCCACACTCTGTATCTGGTTACCAGAACAAGATTATCACAAACTGAAAGTAGTAATGCAGGTGTGTACTACTTGAAAATGTAGTAATAACTGTTGAAAATGTTTTAGTATTGCTCTACTGTTTTGCTATCGACTCCGCTATTATACTCTACGGCTATCGTTTGCTTGTTTGCTATCTTATCTGTGATAAGTTTATGTTTATGTTTAACTTCTCTTTGTAACTCATAAAAACGGTTGTAGCTCAGAAAATGTCTCTCATTTGAAGGGATGAAAAGAGTAAATAAAGTTAAAAAAAAAAAAAGTTTTAGTATTGGTGTATGCTTGTGAAATACTAACTGGATAAAACTTGTTTCCTTTTTTTCTCAGTGGCTGATCCTATTTTGAGAAGGCAAAGATTTCGCGTGGATGTAGGAGATACCTTTAACTTTTCACTAGCGTCTGATGACAATTCAAATCTTGGTCTAGCTAGTGAGTTAACTCTCTTTCTTTGTATCTTCTTATAATGTTTGGTATAGTTTTCTATGGTCACTTTTGGCATCTCCATTAATACAGAGAGTTTAAGATGTGAGCATTTCTCCTTTATTGGCCAGGACACTCCGAATGAAAGCTTGTCACGTTATTCTTATCATACCACTGGACGACTATATGACACACCAGTTGTAATTTTTCTCATACTAAATACACACATTTTTTTGTGTGTACTATACAGTATACAAGCTTTGCAATGTTTTTGCTTATGAGTTATGACTATTCTACATGTTGGTCACTACAGGTGATGCCAGATTCTTACACATTTATATCTGGATATCTGAATTTTCTAAGACGTGAGTTTGCTGCCAATTGTTTAAACATGATTTCAAAATGTATTGAAACAAATCTTGAGCTTCTTTGACATTTTGTATTGTGAAATGAAATTTCTAGGTAACAATTCGCAAACATTTCGAAATTCGGTGCAAAATGAGCAACATTTTGACCTACTAGCCAGTGTCGTCTCAAAAATTTTAAGGGTCCATGGCGAAAACAAAAAAAATTTGGACTCTTTTAGTATAATTTTTTTTTTTTGGGCCCTTTTCGTATATACAAAAAAAAAAATTGGACCATTTTTTCTTTAAAGAAATTGAAAAATTTGGTGCGGGCCCAAAACGTAGGCCCCACTCACCACCCCTTAGAGCCGGCACTGCTACTAGCGACAATTGGTTTCAAGTCCATTTCATTTGGCTGAGGTTCTAAAGACGAGAAGGCAACTGTTGGTTGGTGAAATAGCTCAATGCTTATATGTATGTTCTTTGATGCTTTTTTTGTTTGCAGAATATCTCAACGGTGCTTGCGGATCGTGCAAATCTTACAGATTTATCATCCCAAAGATTGCGCGAAGTGAGAACTACTGAATCAGTAATGCTCTTAAATAATTTAGGAAATTTACTTGTTGAGCTTGGCGTGCCATTTCAAGAATTAGCAGTGGAGAATGACCTATGTGTACTACATCTTTGCTTCTTATTAGATGCACATCTGATTTATCGTTTTATGACGAAGTAGCTTGTATTTGATCTCAGGTGGCTTCTGCTGTTACTCTCTTACCAGTTTGTTCGGTCTTTTTCTCTGTCTCTGTCTTTTGATGTTTCATTTATTGACAGTATTTCAATCTTTTGCATTGTTTAAGACACGTCGGTCTCAGATGCAAACAAGTACTAGAGAAGGAAATATACCAGTTGCTACTAATGCCCCAAGAAATGTTGAGATAACAAGGCACGTAAGAGTCGGTTTTCTTTGGCCCTCACCGAGTAGTCAACAACATGTCAGCTCTCTTCAAGTAGCCACTGAGGTGATTGATGAAATCTCTGACCATTGTGTGTATATATATGCAATATTATAGCTCTATTATTGAGTGTGTGTTGGTATTAATGTTCAGGAGGAGGAGCTTGAGGATCCAGATTTAGAAGATGAGATGGTAAACACATTTACAGTTGAGACATATATAGCAAAAGAGATGGTTGGACTTTTGTCTTTGAGACACTATTTTTTTGGATGTGGGTGACGCAGAGCGAGTAAAATTGGTGGTGACAATGAGGCAACCAGAAGTGCAAAGAGAAAGCTTTTTATATTTTCATGTGGAATCTGTTGGTTTTCCATGTTAGAGTAGAACACTAAAAAGTTTTGTTTTGTTCATAATATGTTAGAATAGAACACTGAAAAGTTATTTTGTAAAAAGACTCGAGCAACAAACTCTATAGTTTCTCATCATGAAGGTGGATTACCAGAAGAAAGAAAAAGGCTAACTAAAACCCTAAGGTGAAACTTGAATTGTGTCCTAATGAAATAGCAAAGACTAAATGTTGTGTAAAGTATTAAACCTTAAGTGGTCTTTATGGAATACAAGAGTTGTTATGGTGGAGAAGGAAAGCCAGTGGTCCTGATCAAGTTTGAGTCTAAGCATCACTAATGTAAATTTCAGATTAATGTCAAGCTTATAATCCAATTTCATTGCTTTAATAATTGTGACCCAATCCGTTATAAGCGTTTAGAACATTTTTATCACTAACATTCATAAAGTGTTTTAAGTAGTTTTTGAATATTAAAAACACTTGACACTCTAAATAAATGGTTCATTAAATTCATCATATAGACATTTTTTATGGAGGGATCAAGTAATTAAATGATTTTTTAATTTTTTTTACTTGTAAGACACTCTTAAGAGTGTTACCATTAATGATGCTCTTATGGCTTGTGTGTTTACGACCGTTTTGTAAAAAGATGGTCCAAATGTACCAGACAATAAAAAAAAAAATCAAGACCTATATCGGGCTAGATTAGCTCCATCACAAAACATACGAAAGAGTCAACTTTGGGAGAGAAACATGAAGGTAATGAAATTTCTCTAGTTCACCGTTAAAATTAACCGGAGTTTACTCTGTTGTTATATGGATGATACTTGCAAAGCAAAATGAATTTATTTTTGAACCGAGCATATGGACATCTATATTTTCTTATACATGTAGCATTCATTACTTTAACC